GTACTTTGATGATTTGTTTTGTGTTTGCAGTGTTTAATCTGTTGGCAAGTAACACACAGGACTTGACTGATCTCTCCCCATTGGGGGTGGGAGAAAATAATCTTTTGATGCACTGTTCAAAATCAATTAGCAGTTAACTGATTGACAGCATTTTGGACATAGAGCAGACGAAATTGATTTGTTTATCACTCAGCTAGTTAAGCAATAAGTGGCATGGTTACTTTGCTTCGAGCTTTTCACTGATTGTCTTTTATCATATTAATTTTTAACATGACTTAAGATGGGAGGTAAAAGAAAATAGATTATCAATAATTTTGGATTAGTTTATTAGATTAATTTATATTTTGTCTTATTTTGCTGTTTTTATTGTAATATTTGGGTTGTTGTTACACTCTGTGATGAAAAGCAACAAAAACACATAAAAGAAAAACTGGTTAAAAATGAACAATGACAAAATAATTCCCTTAAGAAATTTAGGCAGCTCAAGAAAATAAAATAATTTGTAGCTGGTTGTTTTATAGGAGCTAATTTTTTTTTAATTTTTTTTATTGGATGGCTTTTGATTGGTATGTATTCTTGTCATTTAAGTGAAAGTAAATGTGAGATAAAAATTCTGATTTTAAGATAACTTATTTTTCTGATGAATTTATTGAAAACCTGGTCTACCATTTCTATCCCGAATGAGATAATCAACTTTACAGCTTTAACTTAAATAATCTTGATACAGTTAAATGGGAAAAATAATTTCCTTGTTTTAATGAAATTATTTTTCCCCGTTTATGAGTAACAGGATCTTTATTGCTTCAATAAATTAAAAGTTTATTTTTATGTTTTTTTGTTTTAAATAACCCATTTCTGACAAGAAGCAGTTTTACATAAGACTTTGGAAGCACAAGAATAATTTAAATGTTTGCATAAATCTTGGAGTGATTTTCTGTGATCAACATTTTCATTCCTGTTAGCACTTTGTTGTTTAACTGATATAATGTGAATTCTGTTGTTAGGGTTGCAGCTTATATTGTTTGACCTGGAGGTAATTAAACTGTATTCAAATAAAAAAAAATCCCTTTGAAAATATCCCAAACTTACAGGAATCAAAATCAAATATATGAAGCAGATACAACATAGATTAGTTTATTACTTTAAATATTATTTTTAGTGGATATTTATATTTGAGTAGATGCTCTGTTTATTTTAAACAGTATTTAATCTTGTCTACCAGCTTGAACATTCTAGAAATTCACTGAATCCATTGAAAATAATGTTTAAAATAATAAAAATATGTCAAATTGATAAATCAAAATCCATTAATTCTTTAGAAATTGCTTCATTTACGTTTTGGATATGAAACTGAGCATTTATGAATTTTCGAAGAAATCTGAATGAGTAAAAGTATACTTTAAAGCCAAATAGCACCCTTCTTGATTATGAAGCTATTTTGTAGCTGAGTGGTTAAATCAAATTGACGGCTTATTATTATTTTCTAATTTGTCTTAATCATGAGAATTGCTTTTTAAAAAGCATTTGACAGCATTAATTGATATATACTGCACAGATGAATTTTAAGAATAGCAACAGAAAACATTTACATTGAGAAATTCTATTCAAAATAATTTCTGGAAACAGATGACTATAGCTATTTGTTTCATAAGTAAAAATGGAATTTGTCTCTGATTATCCAGAAAATTAGATTGTTGTACAGTTTCAAAAACAAATTTAATTCTATTTCTTATATACTTTTAATTGAACATTAATCTTTCTACCCTTTTATTATATCAATTTTCTTTGAACTTAAAAATGAAAAAGTCTTTAAAAATCTTCTATAATAGTATTAGAATAATAAGATATTTTTCATATAAATTGGCATGAGTATGATGAGACAGTGCATCAATTTCCTTGACTTATGATACTGGGGAAGGTACTGATGGAATGTCAAATTGCTTTAGACTTTAAAATCCAATAAACTGAATGCTAGTTTTAGATCTTAGCAGAATGTCAATTTGTCTAAACTCCTGAACCTTGTATTATGAAACATTTTCTTTTCCCACAGTGTTTTAAATTTTGATAATGTACATTGTTAGGTTTTTGATAGATTTATAGTAGTATGTAAAATTTGATAGAATGTTTACTTGCCATAGTGTGTATTGGCATGATATTTTCCCCTCCACACCCCCAGTGTTTTATCAGTTAAGGGAATGTTTTCTTGTGATACATTATAAGAGTTTGATGCAATGTTTGAAATTTGATGGAATGTTCATTTGCCTTCGTGTTCTAAATTTAATGGAATGTGGCTGATTCAGTGCTTGTTTGTAGCTTAGTCAAATTTTATTACTTTATTTTTTTGTCTTTAGGTACTAATTTTGTCACCATTTATATATCAATATTATTTCACTTTTTACATTTTTCCAATCAAAGTATTTTTATTTTATTTAGCAGCAAGATATAATTTTGGCACAATAACTTTTCAATTTGAAAATTATTTTCTAGTTTTTGCTGTGCTGTCAAAATGCTATTATTTCTGTTTGTTTTTTGTTTTTTTATTTACTTTATTGCAAATGATAAAACTAAAGAATTTGATATTTGAAATTATTTACAATGGAGACTAAAACTCATTAATGATTCCTTTTAAAAGAATCCTTGGATTAATCTATTTCAAAATGCATGTAAGTGTTAAATCTGATGACTATCACTGATGATGACCTGTGAAAACTAGATAGAAACTTAACCCATTACTTGCTAGCTGTAACAGATTCCAGCAAAATGTATTTTTTCTCTTGTCTGATATTCTTAAATACATTAATTACATGAATGTTTTTCTCTATCCACAATCTATAAATGAATTGTTTTTCCAAATGAAATCTGTTATTTTCTATCTTATGTATTTATTGATAACATTGAAGAGGTTTAATCCTTTTCAGACTGAATTTAGTTTTAAATTTTACCAGTTTTAAGGTAACACAAATTTAAATTCAATTTGTGAAATGATCTGCACAAGGCAGTTTATCTATTTAACATACATTCTTATAGGTTTATGTTCAGGTATTTTTACTCATGAAGTAAGGTTTTGGTTGTTTTCATGGAAACTGAATGCAATAAAATTGCTAAATATATTGTAAGTATAACAGTGTAAATTGCCATCAACAGTACATGCACTTACTTGGTTCCCCTGCTTGTGTTTCAAATTTTAAGCAATCATTGAAAATAAATTCATCTAATTCCTCTCCTTCATTAGAATTTAGGATAACCAGCAAAACCTCTTGGGCATTCTTAAATCCATGCCTGATTTTCTTGTTTGTCTGTCAATGAAAAATGACAAAATAAATTGTTAATTTTAAGCTCATTATTACCACATGGAAGTTGCCATGTTACTTGGACTGTTTAAATAGTATCTATCCATCTATGGTCATTTGTTATTATCAGATTCAACAGTAAACAAATGTAAAAGTTTGACTGGTTTGATTTATTCAGTCCTGGGAAGATTTAATGTAACTGGAAATAATGAGTCTCTTTTGAAATATGTTTAATACTGGAAAATTATATAATTTTTATGTTTTAGGGCTTATTTAAAAGTATACAAAATAGTTTTATATTTGAAATATTAGAAACATTTTTTATTGGATATTTTACATTATTCAAACTTTTATCATAGTTTTTTTTTCTCAATGTAATAGAAACACACCCTTCAACACACAACCAAAATTTACTGAAAGTACATCATATCATTTATACTACCAAATTATAATTTACTGATCAATTAAAACTGCTTTTTATTTTACAAATGATGTTTGATTATCAAGACTTGTTTTGCTTAAATTTATTGATTAATCTTTACAACAAATAGAATTTGTCTCTCTCGTCAGTATATGTAAATTATTTCTTATGCAGCAAAGTATCAAAATATAAGAACTATACAAGAGTAGGAACAAGCAGCCAGAGAGAATGCATCGGAGAATTTTGATTTATTTTATTGCAGGTCCAAATACAAGATGATACACCAATCCTACTAACAACAAGGTTGAAGCAATATTCATTGGGGAGGATGGAGCACTTTAGTTCATTGAGATGTTGTTTATCCACAAGGAGAGTATAAACAGTGAATATCTTCTCTCTCCTGTCATCTGAATCCCATGGTTTATCCAATATTTTCAAATGGAGAAGAAGATTGGCACATGAGCATGGAACATGTTCATCATCCAAAAATGTCAGACAAGAGTATGCAATAAAGTTACCATGCAAAATCAACTTTATGCAGCAGTTAAAGTTTCAGTACTGCGAGATGCCTCAGCACTATGTATTTAATCAAAACACAAAATGGACTCTGACAATGCAGACCAACAGCAACATAGGAACCAGAATGTATTCAGTAAGCCCCAGATAAATAAGTTTCATTTCTATGTTCCTGGAGTTACTTTTTTTTTGAGAACTTGTCGACAAGGGCAAGGAGTAGAGCTGTCAACATTTAATGTGGCATGCATATGACTCAGGCTCCTAAAAGACGATGCTTAACTGCATAATACTCTCTCAGAGGTTACAACATTTCGAATGTTACAGCAACTATTAAACCTATTTACCATGATGTTTTTATTCAGTCATCCTGAGAGTGCACTGCATCTTTGGAATGAACACAGGTGCAACATAAGCAAAGATAATGATGGAAATGCTGCCAAAATTTAGCACTCCATACAATTTCCAAAGAGAATGGAACCACTTGCAGAGCACTTGGCTTACCAGAACCAACAATTGACCCTCTGAGAAGTGAAAACATTATCCAAAACCATCCATCAAACCTTGAATCACTAAACAGTGAACAAATGTGAGTGGTAAAGTGGAAGGCTGTGGCTGCAACAGAGAGGGGTGAGCATGACAGGTGGAAGTACTTTTATTTGGATTGCACCTTGTGGAAAAGGGAAAGCCTGTTTATTCAATATATTACATACTCATTTAACTACAAACAAGATTATGACATCAACAGCTGCCTGAATTGGTATAGGTGCCACACT